CCCCCCTCCAAAACAACAACAACCGCCATTCGCCACTAAGTGGCGGTGACATCACCACGACGCTTGTGCCAGGCAATGTGCACCTTGAGGCCACGTAAATTGTCGAACGCCCGCTGGCAGGAGGTCACGGAGCAGACCCAGGTGCCACGGGTCGACTGACCGAGATTACCGAGATGACTGGCTGAGATTACCGAGATGACTGGCTGATGCACCACCTGTGCCACCTACTGTGCCAACTTGCTGTGCTTTAGCCACCCGGCGCTCCGCTCGTTGTTGTGAGCGTCGCTCTTCCGCCCTCCGTTGTTGTTGGAGGGCGACTGCCTCCAACTGCCCAGTAGCGTCCTTCACGAGCCTCCTCCACAGAGGCCGATCTTGACACCGCTGGTACCAGTCATCGGCAAGTCCACTCAGCTCAACGTCCTTCTGTACCACATCACTCCATCTCTTCTCTAGCCCGTGCCACGCCCGTTTAGCCCCCTCTTTGCGGCCGAACAAAAGCGGTTTCGGCATGCGGTGGCTGGGCATGCGGGCTACATGACCCAGCCAACGCAGCCTTGCCTGCCGGAGGAGCTCACCGATGGGACTTTGCCCAGATCTTTCAAGGATTTGTGAGCTCCTCACACAATCCAGCCTCGTTAAACCCAGAATGGATCGTAGGCAGGCCAGTCTAAATGTTTCTAACCGGCGAAGATGTTCCATTAGGGGGGTCCACGTTTCGCAAGCGTAGAGAAGGGAGGGAATGACTGTGGCCGAGACGACACACACACAGCTAGAGACGTGCTCCCAATAAACAGAGACACATTAACGTGCAACGCAGGGAGAAGCAGTGGCGACACGAACAACCGCTCGCACACTACCACACAGACTATTTGGACAGCGCACACACACGTGCACAGATATGCAACTCCACAAAAGGGTGCACAACCTATCTCCCAGACTCCCAAGACAAAGATCCCTGTTGATCCCTGCACGCATTCACCCAGTATAGCCTTGGTGTGGTGGGGGGGGGGGACGAGTGCTGCTGCTATTATTATTGAGCAAAGTATCCAAGCGGCGCTGAGGAACACGACAGGGGTGGTCGCAGTCCTGGTCGGTATCACGACCTACCTACCGCCTCTGTTTCCCCCGCTGTTGCTACACACACCGCACCCAAGTGCTCGTTCGAGACTCAAGTCAACTAACTTGGGGAAGTTCAACGTCCGGGAAGTGGGAACAATGAGGTGGAGCGAGACTGGCTAGCGGGGCGAGGACGCTTTCCCGCAGGCCACTCTTGCATCTCCGTGAACCGATGAAGACGCGCCGAATCGGGAACTCATCGGGACCCGATTCAGATATCAGATCAGCACTGAGATTATCCATGGCCGGGAATCGAACTCGGGTTGTTGAGTTTGTAGCGCAGCGCGTGAAACAATGCGGCCACCGCTGTCCACAAGCACGCACAGAATCACACACACACACTCACTCACACAATCACACACATGCACACACATGCACACACACACTCACAATCACACACTCACACAGGCACACACTCACACACAATCACGCACACACATACAATCACACACGCACACACACCGCACACACACGCACACACTCACACAATCACACACACTCACACAATCACTCACACACACACACAATCACGCACAAACTCACACCCCCACCACCATCCCCTCGTCACGGCCCGCAGGCAGCCCGGGTCGGTGCTGGGGGTTGAGGGCAGCCCGGCGCCTCTCGGAGTCGCCCGTGCGGGAAGCCCGACATGGGGCACAGCCACGGAGAGGAAACGACAACGAGCAAGGCGCGGCCACCACGACGACGATGATCCACACAGCCCGCACTGACTCACACGCGGATGAGGACACCCCCACGAACACGCGCCCCCCCCCCCCCCCCCCCACGTGGCCCTATAGAGTAGTAGTATAGACCGTCAGGTTCTGGTGAACAGCACCATGCCCCATGAAGGCCGACCCGGCACACGAGGGGGTGGTGGCGGCTAATACGCACCTCCTCCTCCTCGTCTCGCTGCTCCGCATTTGTGATGTTTACACACCGCTCCACGTCCTTATTTAAGGGGGTTAGTCGATCTAGAAAACGCTCAATATAACAACCTGCCACTGGATGTTGACGTACATTCACACACGCATAAAGACCTCCCAACACATGCACACACACATTCACATAACGCGTCCATCCATACACACAACCCACCAACTTGCAGGCGTGTGACGCGTAGACCCACACACCACGCACACAACCCCCCCAAAGTAGAGCCCGCCTCTCACAGGCACGGTAGATGGGTATACCAGAAAACAATTTACGCACAGACCCACACACAGGCAGATCCCATACAGCGCCAAACATCGATCCACCCACAGACTCAGCTTGCAAAGACTCATAAACCAAGCAGACCCATAAACACCGACCCATACACAGGCAGACCCGCAGACACAATGCCCCGTCCAGTACACGAAACCTATACAGATCCACAGATCGATCGTACACGAAGACTCACAAACAGACGCATAAACACTGCCCTATAGGTAGACCCACAGACGCCAATCCACATACAAGCAGAGCCATAAACACCGACCCATACACAGGCAGACCCATAAAGGCGAACAGAGGACCCACACCCACAGACTTGGCTGACCTATACATATGGATCCCATACACAGTTATTCAGAAGGACCCCATACAGAGAGACGGACATAAAAGAACCCCATATGTACAAATATGCTCCCAAATTCCAGACAGCCCTTATACATAAAAACCAAAGAGGCAGACCCACAAACTCACAACATGCCGTTCCCATACGGATAGAGAGTCAGACTCCCACCTAGGCCTCGGCAAGGTAAGGTAAAAGTGTAAAAACAACGAGCCTACCTTTACCCTACCTTTTACCTTACCACAATACAATCACTCGACCCTACCTTTTACCCTTTAGCAGGTAAGGTAAACGGTAGAAAGCAACGAGCCTAGTCCCACCACCGTGGTGGACACGTGTCGCATCCATTTAAATCATGTTACACGGCACAAGTTTCCACTCGTGTACATCACAACACAGCCGTGTACATCACAACACAGCCGTGTACATCATAACACAGCCGTGCTTACAGTAGTCAGATTCCCTACGCAGAGTTTCGCGTTTTATGGACTACGCTAAAGACGCCAGCACGATCGTGTTACACCGTATTTAAGTGAGCACGTGCACACAACATTGCATGGCACAGAGCACCAGACAGCCCTTTTGGCATTCCACTGCTGGATGAAAGCCTCCCTGCAGTGTCACTACGTGCTGGGTAATGTTCATGTTGCCAGGAGCACGACACGGATTTAAAAGTGCACTAATTCTCACACTTGTACGGTCTTATGTACGCATTGACTTACACGGGCGTAGTGAGTATAGTGTATTGTAAACACATGGGTCATGTTCATACAATGCATACAAATACTGCACATTACAAAAACAATTGGCCTCTCTATATTTAGTCCATAGAACGTGCACGAAAGCGCTGTGTATTCAGCGCTATTAACAACTGCGTAGTGTACGTGAGCCTGCATTGTGCGCGTGCCACCACCACCACCACATGTAAACCAACAGCGTCTTTGGTGTCATGCACATTAGTGATGTAGTATGGAGAGATGATTGGTGGTGTACTATAAACACTGTCCTTCATGAGAACGTGTAATTATATATCTACAGCATGTGCCCCCTGTGTAGCCTTAACAGACTGTTAGGGCAAGTGCTGTCAGCGAGCACCTATGAAGGCCGCCTTTGTCTCTCCGGTGACGATGTTTACACACAGCACCGGGTACTCATTTGAGGCTCTGTCGACCTAGGGGAGACCCAGAACCGGTTCAGATAATCGTCACCGGTGTTGGCCGTGAGCGGGAATCGAACTCGGGTCGCCGGGCTCGTAGTTCAGCGCTAACCACTGCCCCACCGCTCCCCACACATCACACACAGGGGCATGCATTGCTTGTTATCCACTGCTGGATGAGGGCCTCCCCACTCCACGTGTGATGTACCTCCACGCACGCCGCAGTACGCAGTTGTACTGCGCCACGTGTACAAACATGACGTGCTGCTGTTGTGTATTGAGCTTTATACACGTATATACATGCACGCAGTAAAGCGTGTGGATTGTATATTGTCTTCTACTACGTGTACGTTGGCCTATTATAGTGTTAAAGTTCATCTGTACGTAGAGACAGACGGCTACAGCACACAAACTTTATTAGATGGCTGTAGTAAATGCGATAGTTTACTACACTAGACTGTATTGATTACACGTGTGTACTACGCGTGTTGCTTATACAGTACCTAATTACAATATTATTTATACTTTAGAGCGCCTTAACTCAAAGCGCATCACGTTCCGCAGAGTACACAGTCCTGTACTCATGTGAGTACAAAGTCTAAAAGCATTACACGCTATAGTTATAACCTTAGTTTAATGCCCATTACAATACTGTACATACATCATATAGTACACATACCGCACTGTTCTAGTCAAATAGTAACATGACGTACTAGGAGCTCAAACCTTACATTGTAGAATCACTGTCGAACACTATTTTAACATAGCACAACGCCCACGTGGTGCTATACGTGAACACACAACAGTGTACACGTTGCGCAGTGTACAATAGTGCCACTGTGCTTCTATGCGCCCACATCCACGGAGCCCACGACGCCCGCATTGACCAGCGTGGTGAAGTATGGTCAAACTACCCCCTTCATCCAGCAGTGGATTGCCCCACAGAGCCCGTACACGCCTAACTCTTGCGACACGGCACTATGTAACCACGCAGACACACAGACTAATAACATTACTTGTGTAAATACGCGCATCGTAGTATCCTGTTCTGCGCTCCGCACGGCACGTTTAGCGAACACCTCCTCGCTGTCAACAAAGCTCGTGGGCAGCCTTAACGACGTTACGCAAACACTGGGGCATGCGTGGCGTCTTGGTGCGTCAAGTGAAACTTACTCGGGCATGGTGGTGGTGGTGGCGGCGGCGGCGGCGACGATTCCGGCGTTCGCGGACAGGGAACCACGCAGCTTCCAACACCAACCAACACGATATCCCCACCCCTCTCTGTGTGTGTGGTGTCCGCGCTGCTGTTAGTATTTTATCCGCTGTGATTATTATCGTTAACTACGACGATTGGTGGTGGTGGTGGTTGTTGTTGTTGTTAGAAGCACGGGGGGGGGGGGGGTCCCAGCACAGCGCTCGCTCCACTCGCTCCCGACTCGCGGCGCGCGCGTTGCCGAGTGCGGGGAGCCTCGCGCCGCGCGCGCGCGCCCCTCCACCACGGCGGGGCCCCGCCCCTCCCCTAAGACCCGCCCACACTCATCAACATAATTTATGCGTCCGCCACCCATTGGCCGTCGCGCGAACGTGTTTAGCATAATTTATGCAATTTTTTTTTTTACACGCGTTACGTAATTTAATATTCATAGTAGAATCGTGACGTCAGCGGCACGGTGGACGAATCGCCGCGGCGCCCCTCTTGCTTACGAGGCGTGGCCAGCAGCCGGGGAGAGGGGGAAGGGGCTCGGGGGGGGGAGGGAAATGTCTAACGACGACCTCCGATTGGCTATGCCGCGGTCGCACGTGACAGTAGGAGGCGTGGTGATGAGGTGGAGGGGGGGAGGGAACACGTAGGCGAAGGGAGGGGGGGATGTGTTCGAGTTGGGGACGGAATGTACCAAGGCAGGGGGGGGGGGTTGTGGGGGGGGCAAGAGATCGGTATCTGCTGACGTCAGCACTGTTTGGGTTTTTCGGGGCTTGCAGTATTTATTTATTAATTTCGGTCTTCCTCTGGCCGCCTGCGCCAATGAGAGGCTCGGGCCGCGGAATGTGAGTCAACCGGTTTCATGCACAGTGACTGCGCCAAAAATAATTATTGCGTTGAAAAAAAATAAAGTACGCGACATTTAACAACAAAAAATCCAAAAAGCACCACAGATTGGAAATACCCAGAAAACAGCAGTTCCCAAAATCTTCTTGGTTATTTCGGTAAAGTCACGTAGAAGGGAAATAATAAAATCAGAAAAATATTGTTTTATTTTTATTATTTCCCTTCTACGTGACTTTACCGAAAGAACCAAGAAGATGAATCCCTGCAGTCACGAAAGCTTTAAATCGAAATTTCCCAAAATCTGTTTACTTGGATTTGATTCATCCCTCACGTGAAATACGTTTAGCAAACATCAGGCGCGTGGGGCACGTGAGAAGACTTAACTTGTATTTGGACAAAAGATTGAAAACACTGCAGTACCGGCGCCGTGAAGTACAGAGTGGGAGGAGGGCTTCAACAGTAGATGTACAATTGGGTGTAAATGATTAATGACTGTTTTCATCGTGCTGTGTAAACGTTTCTAAATATTCATGATTTTAAATGGCCTCTGACCATATATGGCATTGTACAATCTTTCGAAAAGCCCTATAAAACATTAATTCCTCCACTTTAGTCGACGATACACGCATTTTGACCAGTTTAATATTTAAAAATGTTGTATATGATCGTACTTTTATTTGGAACTCGTTCAATTCCTATATATTTAAGACACGCACAGTTGCTTCGTACACACACACACATGTTTAGACACAGTATTTATTCACCACTATTAATGACCGACGATGTGCCACGAACTCATCAGATCTCAGACGCTGGGCTGGGTTGAGCCTCGGTGACCACGTGGGGGTGGCGACATGTTAACTCCCTCGCCTGGTATGCAGGAGGCTGTGGGTTTGATTCAACCGTGACTCTCTCGCCTGGTATGCAGGAGGCTGTGGGTTTGATTCCAACCGTGACTCTCTCGCCTGGTATGCAGGAGGCTGTGGGTTTGATCCCAACCGTGACTCTATCGCCTGGTATGCAGGAGGCTGTGGGTTTGATTCCCAACCGTGACTCTATCGCCTGGTATGCAGGAGGCTGTGGGTTTGATCCCAACCGTGACTCTCTCGCCTGGTATGCAGGAGGCTGTGGGTTTGATCCCAACCGTGACTCTCTCGCCTGGTATGCATGGGGCTGTGGGTTTGATCCCAACCGTGACTCTCTCGCCTGGTATGCAGGAGGCTGTGGGTTTGATCCCAACCGTGACTCTATCGCCTGGTATGCAGGAGGCTGTGGGTTTGATCCCAACCGTGACTCTCTCGCCTGGTATGCAGGAGGCTGTGGGTTTGATCCCAACCGTGACTCTCTCGCCTGGTATGCAGGAGGCTGTGGGTTTGATCCCAACCGTGACTCTCTCGCCTGGTATGCAGGAGGCCGTGGTTTTGATATTAATGGTGACGCCATGTATGTTTGAAGATTGCATGTTCTCCCTGTGGTCGCGTTGATTTTTCTCTGGGTACTCCGGTTTTCCCCCTCCACATTTGGCTGTGAGAAATGTCCACGTGATAAGCCACTTCGTTGAGCTATCATGTGTGACCAGGTCGCTTCTGAAAAGAAGCTGTACAGCTCAGTGGGCCCTACCTGGTAAAATAAAACAAAACTGACCAGCGCTGTATCCTGTGACCTAAATAACCCCTCCACGATGTGCTACGGCTCTCATCGAGCAGTGGAGTGACAGAGAGGCTACGCACGGCGTGCGTGTTATTACCATTGTTTCATCCGGTGAGAGAGAGAGGGCACATTGAGAAGAAGAAGGCTCCTCGTAGGCTCTCAGTGTTCGGGTGACCCGGGGAGATGCTGCCGCTGCTTTATTCTCAAACAGCGCGGCTGATCAAAGCGTGCAAAAAAAATTACAGTAATGTGTAAAACCCGTGCCGGCGTTCGAGGCAAAGCCGCGTGATCACAGTCCACTGGCGGTTTGCAACCACATGGATATCGAGGAATGCGTGTGCAGGCGGTGCAACTGCGCCGAGACCCACGGGTCTGGAGGAGGGGGGGGGCATGAGTCGGCCTACAACGAGAGGAACGGGGTGGGGGGGGGGGTTTAAGAGAGGGCCCCAATTGGATTCCTTGCCAACCACGCCGCTATGCCACTGGTCAGACACGGGGCGTCTATTAGGTCACGGAAACTGGTTGCTAAATTGAATAACGTGAGGTTGAAATGCGATTAGAAACAATTTCTCCGTATACAAGATTAAACAATCGTGCAGGGATGTACAATAACGCGCACTTATACCACAGCCTTCCGGCAGTGGGACGTTTAAGGATTGCTAAATACGGAACCCTCCTCAGCCATGCTCAATCCGCCGCTTGATGAAGGCCTGGTAAAGTCGCCACCGTCTCTCACAGGTCCTGCTATTTCGCAAACCGCCTCACGCCTCCATCCCATCTTATTGCATCGCTCCATCTCCTCGGCAGACGTCATCTCGAGATCCGCTTCAATTCTAGTCTATGCTTGCGTACAGCAGCGGAATGCCATTGTGGAGGTCTGCTCGCCAAGAGAGAGAGGGGGCTTCAGGATAGACCAGCGGTCGGGAACCTATGGCTCGCGAGCCATATATGGCTCTTCTGGTGACATATATGGCTCTTCTGGTGACATATATGGCTCTTCTGGTGACATATATGGCTCCCAGACAATTTTGAGTTGAAAAAAAAAATACAAAAATCAGTTTGGAACTGATTTTAAAATACTTGTGATATTGCTTAATAATACTGTGTCATTTTAAAGTAAACAGAAATTAGTTTTGAAGATAAATTTCACGGGTCACGGGGCCTCAACGCCTGCATGAAGCTCAACCTCACCACGTACGAACCAGACTACAAGGCCATCAGCAAAACCACGCAGCACCAGAAGTCGCATTAAAAGTGATACATATTTAATTTATTATACGTTAAAAATACTATATGGCTCTCAATGCAATATATTTAGAAATATTTGGCTTTTATGGCTCTCCCAGTCAAAAAGGTTCCCGACCCCTGGGATAGATAGAGAGAGAGAGGGGGGGGGCTTCAGGAGAGTCCGTGTCGAGTTGCGATTCCTTCTCCATCGAAGGAGCGCAGACGACAGTGGCTCTACTCTTCGGGCAAGTGCGAATACCACGGCATGACTAACCTGGCAGATGTGGGAACACGTGGAGGAGGCGCACGAGGGCGTGGGAGAGTGTTTGGCGAGCATAGATTGTTGGTTATAATTGCGCAAACGAGCGCCTTTGACTCGCAAAACAAAACAGGAATCTCGGCGCATGCGTTGCACGCTAAGATGACTACGTCGCCATTCTTTGGCAACGCATTCCGCGTGCGCGCAGCCTCGCGGTGGCTGCCCGCGGGAAGAGCTGAGAGCGTGACGACGTTTTTACATTCGGGCACACAAAAAGAACAGGGCGACTGTAAACCCCGGTTTGCACCCTCGTCACAACTCATCAGCAGGGTGTAGCCGTCGTTAGCGCCTGCCTCCGTTTGAGTCACAGGAACCCTGTGGTGCACGGGGTGGCCTCGCCTCCTACGCAGTGGGGACAGATTGGGCGTGGGATGCGGGCCACGGAGGCCACAATCGGTTCCACAGCGAGCCCAACGCAGCCCGCGCAGGTCTGTGAAATAAGAGGACGGTCGTTGCGACTTTTTCTTATTATTATTACTACTACAGGGCTCGTCGTGCTACGCAGAGCGGCGCGCGTCTGCAATCGCCACGGGTCTTTTTTTCGCGCTCCGGTGATTTTGAGCGATACATCTGCATGCGGTGGCGACACCCGTCCGTTTCGTCGTCTCATCCTCCAGGGCAGTGGTTCCCAACATTGTTGGACCTGTGGGGCCACTGTCAATCTCTCTACACCGTGTTCGCACACCTTCCCGCGGGGAATAAAAATCCGGCGTTGTCTTGCGAAAAACAAAAAAAATTCGTGTTTGCAACGGTTCCAGCGACCACTTCTCACGGCCCGTGCGTTGGAACCACAGTGGTACGTGGGCCTCGGGGTGAGAACCACAGTGGTACGTGGGCCTCGGGGTGAGAACCACAGTGGTATGTGGGCCTCGGGGTTAGATCAACAGTGGTATGTGGGCCTCGGGGTTAGATCAACAGTGGTATGTGGGCCTCGGGGTGAGAACCACAGTGGTATGTGGACCTCGGGGTAAGAACCACCGCTCGAGGCATTTGAATCGGATACTTCCAGCGCAGGATCGCGAGATGAGGTGGCGGCGGCGGCTTGGGGAGGTCCTTCATATCCAGCAGTGGATTGAGCGTGGCTTTCACGGAGAAGATTAACCAACGCCAATTCGTGCGCTCACGTGGGTGGTGGTGGTGGGGGGAGGCGCAGGAGCGCATTGAATGGAACCTGAAGGGG